CACACACATATCCATGTACGCATTCAAACAAAAATACACACACACCGCGGTAGTAACAATATGCTGTTTTGCATTTGCATGTATGAAAAAAAGCATAAAAACGGGTACAAACTAGAGGCACAGAAGCTCAGGTTAATTTGCTTGCAAGTGGTTGTTTCACGAAGGTGAACAGCTACAGGAGAAATAGTACAGGAAGTTCCGGCACTGCCGCATTTGGCGGCGGGATGCATACAAAAATAGCCAAGTCGGTGATCAACAGCGATAGTCCGAAAATCCTTGGTGAAAAGAAAGGATGGGCCGTCAACAAATGCAGCAAACCTGCCAGTCCTCTTTCTTCCCAATGCTTGGATCCATTACAGCATCCAGTAGCACACCATGAAAAGTTACATTTTTGAGGAAAACTGCCATACCAAGAGGTGAATTCTGTGATAAATCTACTTTACCAATTTCTAGGAACCGTCCATTTTGAGCAAGACAACGAACAGAAGCCTGCAATTATTCTTCATTTTTCGTTAATTGTGGGACTCTAAAATAATAATATTATACAGTGCACATGTGGAGTCATTTCACAAATCTCTCAGCGTTGTCCCTTTTCTGTAATATTTTAACAAAATTTTAATTCTTTTCGAAAAAAAGGGAAACAGAGAAATGGAAAAATAAGATACTGGCCAATACAAAAGTGGCGCGCATAACAGAACAACTGGTGGATATTAGCTAGAGGTACGCAGCTTAGGATCGAAGGTTCTAAAGCAGCTACGCCCAGAATGTAAAAACGCCCCAGCAAAACAGCTAGGATAGGATCCCACATCAACGGCGCTAGCGGACTTGGCATTCTTTGTACATGTACACAATGTTTACAAATTTCCACTTTTTGAGCTTCCAAATTATTGCATCAAGAAATAATATTAAAAAAAAATGAGTCAAAATTCATCAAAAAAAAAGCGCCACATGCAACTGAAAAGTCTTATACTAATTAAAAACAATAAAGTGAGTTAAGAATTGTAAATATAATCTTCTGGTAGAAAAATGTGGTTCGCTGTGATTTTTAAAAATTAGCTTGGATTAATCAGTTTTTCATGCGCACCAATAATGCATGCGTTTCAGCTAAGCGCATTTCCTACCTGCAACATATGCTGGGCTAATGAATTGAGCACAACGTCAACACCCCGACCGCGCGTTTGGTGTCGAATATGAAGCTCGAAATCTGCGTTCCGAGAATTTGCAAAATGTTTGTCTTTCAACTGTGGAAAACTGTAAAAAGTTATATTCGTTTCAAAAAAGCATAGATCGTAAGTTTAAAGGAAGCAGATCAAAAGAAAATTTGAGTACGAAATCATAGAAAGTCACAATCTTTCCCGTTTATTTAAAGAGCTAAATAAATTTTTTGGTGAAAATAATACACCTTTCAATAAACATTATGTTATTAGTGTAATAATCACTCTCAATCAGAGTCAAATATGATGTTGGCTCTGGCTCAAGCTTAACTTGGCTGTATCTCTCTGCTTGAAAAAATAGTGTTTTTTTTTTCATTTTTTAAACAAAGTTGACACTTGTGTTCAGCAGCCTAACAGCCAGTTTATCGTCTTCTACTTCAATAGAACATCTCCCGGCCTAGTTTTTTTCTAATTGAATTAAACTCTTTTTCGTCCTATTCTGACTATTAGGTACCCTCAGCTGGGGACGATTCCCTCGCCCTCCCCTCCCTCATCCTCTCCAAGGATTACATTTTACTGTGTGCTACAAAAGCGGCGCGGTTAAACCGAAACGTTTGGCTACATTTAACGAAAGGCATTAATTCTTTTCTTTTTAGGGCGGAACTTATTCCGATGAATTCTTAAGTTTTTATTCAATCGATTTTGTTAAATTTGGTCGTGGTGTGCCAAATTTTTGTACTAGCTTAGCAAAACACGGTATTTTATGTCGCCAAATTATATATTTGAGCTGCTAACACTGCTTGGTTAGAATCAGTGGCAACTAGCCAAACTACAAATGATAATACTATAGAGGTCGAAAATGGAAAGAACCGCCTGCTAACTGGAAGCGTTGCAAAACCAACCGCTTTTGCAAGAATGCTTTTTTCTCCGCATTACCAACTGTCGTGTATACTTCACACCCACGAGACAGCGCTACCGCAATTGCTGCTTGACCAACACCACCCGAACCACCATGTATTAGTACCTGAATGTACGGCATCGTTTACTTAGCCAGAAACCTTACTACATCTTATTCCCTAAACAGTCGCATCCGAGAACTGAGCTGTGTTATGTGTTCATTTACTGGATCATAATGACAGCTGTGCTGCCTTGTACACACAATTTGGTTATGCTTCGGAAGAGCGTACTACATGAGCAAAGGACTGACACTTCTACGCCAAAAGACCTAGAAACCAAGTGAACCAACAAGCCAGCCGTTGTTTTGATAGTGTGTAATTATGCGTTCTTGCATAGATGCTAATGCGAAAACGCGTATTGCGACGACCCCCGTGTGTGTGTGTTTGTGTGTGTATATGTGTGTATGCATGTGTATATGTACATATCTGTATGTGTGTGCATGTGTGTGTATGTGTGTATGTATGTGCATGTGTGTGTGCGTCTGTCCAGGTATTTCAACTCGGCACCCAAGCAAGCTCCAGCGCCAAAATTTTGCGAATGGGTTCTCCGGCCAAGTGCCACCCCAGGACCGCAATACCAACCCTCACGTACGTCAAGCCCCCGCGTATGAGCACGTGAAATTTTTGGGCGAAAAATCGCTAACTCGGAAACCAGAAAAGCTAGAAAGCTGAAATTTTGAGGTTATGTTCCTCGTCCATATAGAACTCAAAGTTTTCAAATTCAGCGCCACGGTATAAGCGGTTCCTGTGTACGGCCCCGTGAGGGTTCCCGGCTGGAAAATCGCTAACTTGAGATCCAGGACAGCTGGGAGGCTGAAATTATGAAGGGATGTTCCCAGCCTATGTGCAACTTGAAATTATCAAATTCAGTCCCCGACCATGCGTTGTTGCCACATACGGCCCCACGACCACGAAAATTTTTGGCGGAAAAATGGCTAATTGGAGAACCAGAGAAGCTGGAGGACTGAAACTTTCACGGAACGTCCCTTGGTCATCTACAACTCAAATTTATCAAATTCAGCCTCCGGGCATGCGTGGTTGCCAAGTATAACTCTGTGGAAATTTTTGGCGGGAATATGGGTAATTCAGGAACTGGGAAAGCTGGGAGCCTGAGATTTTAAGGGAATGTCCCTAGCCCATGTACAACTTAAATTTATCAACTTCAGACCCCAGTTATGCGTGGTACTCAAGTACGGCCCCGTGAAAATTTTTGGGGGAAAATGGCGGACTCTAGAACCAGGAAAGCTGAGGGGCGGGGGGAAAAGGGGGATAGGGGCTGAAATTTTTAGGGAATGCTCCCTGTCGAAGTACAGCGTAGACAATTAATTTCACGAAATTGGAGGACTTTTATGTCACACGTTCCTAGCTACCGGGTTTCCGAGCGTTCTCATTACAGCACGAAACACTGCAAAAATGCATGATCGCAAAGGCTCGCCCGGTGTGCGTCACCAGTGATTTTTGAGAGAGCTGGCA